CAGAATTTGAAGGACTTAAACAAAATACATTTTTACCAAAATAATTTGGGCTTTTTTGAGAAAATTCTTTTTTTCATTATTTTATTGGATTTTATGGGAAAATCGCCATTAAAAATAAAAATGAAAAAATCCTGAAGATATAATGGATGGACCACTACCTATGTAGGTTTTATCAAAAAAACTATTATGTATTTTAGATAAACGATAGACTATTGCATATGAAGTAGAAAATGGACTACTAGGAACAAATAAAAAAAGTCCTTTTGTGCAATTTTGACGCACTAAAGCACATTTAAAGTTTCAATGTGATGATGTACATATATGATATTACTAAATTTCATCAAAATCGGACTACAGGTGTTGTCTGTAGCTCTGCACACATTCACACACACAAGCACACACACACAGACATCCCTTCAAAAACACCTTTTTTGGGTTCAGGGGGATCCAAAACGCATATATACACTCACAAGTCAATCTCAAAAGTTTTGACAAAAACAATATTTTTTCTATATATATATACAACAGGGTTAGGCAAAAGTATGGAACCCCACAGTTAACTTTTAACGCGTTGCAGTAGGAAAACCAAACTCGGCACATATCTACAACATAAGAAATGCACTTTTTCATCAAAGTTACAACATTGCCCCAGCCCCCAAAATGGGGTATTTTTGGGGCAGCCCCAAATTTACGAATGTAAACACCTATTATGTGACCCCTCGTTTTAAAGGGATTCTCAAGACAAATTAAATGGCTCAAACTAGAGGTCAATATCGCAACCCTAATCATGTTGGGTTAAATAATACCCCCGCCACAGCAAACCTGCAGACTTAGCGAATTTTCATTTGCCTGATTGGATTTTTAAACTAAAATGTCTTCTTAAAAATATCACATTTATTCCCTATTCAAACAGAATTAGTTTAATGAGTACTTAGGTTTGCTGCAACAGGGAGGGTAAAAAAGTTATTTTTTATGTAAAATGTTAAAAAGTACTGTGGTTTAGTAAGCAATTAATGTATTTTCCAAATTTGATCAAAATATTTTCATAAACAAACAAACTACAAAAGTTGACTTATTCTCCATAAGAATAAGGAAATTTTAAAATTACAATTTTTTAAAATTTTCTCCGTAGCAATTAGGCGCATAATAACGCTTCAATATACTAAATTATTTGTTTTTTAAAGCTCTACAAAATGGTTTAAAAAGAAATTGTGAAATTTGTGTTTTTAGGGTCAAAAATGGGAAAAACCTATTTTTACCCCATAAAACCCCCCATAAACTCCCGTTCCCATAGTACGATCATGCTGGTTCGTGAACTCATTCAAGTTTATCCTGCCTTACACCTTCAAACCAAATTTTATCAAAATCGGAAAAAAATTACTCAAGTTATCGTGCGGATGGACACACATATATATATATATATATATATACGAGGGTTGTTATTTAAGTAAGGGCCGGTTGCGTGTATAGTCCCGTAGTTCGCGCGGATGCCGCAACAAGCCACCGTGCCACTTGCCGGCATCCTTCCCGTTCACACTGATGCCAGTTGCAGCTCTGTAGCTGACGTCTACGCATCGCTGTGCTACTTTATAATGTTTACGATTATTGAATCGCCCGCTGCGTGTGAGATACGGTCAGTGATACGTTTTTTGACCGCTAGAAGCCTATCAGCTGCAGAAATTCATCCTCAGTTAACAGAAGTTTTTGGCTTGAATGCAATGAGTGAAGGTAAAGTGCGACAATGGGTTAGAGAGTTTAAAAATGGCCGTCAAAACGTCCATGACGAAGAACGCTCAGGCCGGCCCTCCGTGATCACTGATGATTTGGTGGCTGCAGTCGAAACAAAGGTTCGTGAGGACAGAAGATTCACAATTTCCACTCTTTCTTTGCAATTTCCACAAGTTTCAAGATCAGTTTTGTACAAAATTGTGTCTGAAAAGCTAAACTTTAAGAAATTGTGTTCTCGGTGGGTACCCAGACTCCTCACAGAGGGCCACAAAGTGAAGAGATTTGCCACTTCATTGGACTTTTTGACTCGTTACGACGAAGAAGGGGATGACATGTTGAGTCAAATTGTCACTGGAGATGAAACGTGGGTATCTCATATCACTCCCGAAAGCAAGCGACAGTCAATGGAATGGCGACACACAACCTCACCCGTCAATGTCAAAGCCAAACAGACTCTGTCAAAGCGCAAGATTATGGCAACTGTGTTCTGGGACCGGCGCGGTGTTTTGCTAGTGGACTTTATGCCACGAGGAACGACGATCAACTCAGATGCCTACTGTACAGCTCTAAAGAAGCACCGCAGAGCAATTCAAAACAAACGGCGCGGCATGCTGACAAAAGGAGTTTTGCTCCTGCACGATAACGCTAGGCCTCACAACTCTCAAAAGACTCGGGATTTGATTGATTCTTTTGGCTGGGAAGTTTTGGACCATGCACCATACAGCACCGACCTTGCTCCTAGCGATTTTCACCTTTTCTGGTACCTGAAACACCATCTTGGCGGGCAGCGCTTCAATGACGACGATGAAGTGAAAGCGGCCGTGAACTCTTGGCTGTCGGAGCAGGCGGCCGAATTCTTTGAAGAGGGAATTAAAAACTTAGTTTTACGTTGTGACAAGTGCTTAAATAAACAAGGCAACTATATAGAAAAATAGGTAAAAGTGTGTAGAATCAGAAAATAAAAATTATTTTACAAAATTATTTGTATCTTTTGTTAAAAATAAAAACGGCCCTTACTTAAAAAACAACCCTCGTATATATATATATATCTATATATAGATATATAAAAATTTGAACGAATGGTGTTTTTGGCCTCTGGGGACATCAAAATGAAAAAGTAAATCGGTCCCGGGCCTAGGTCTTACCATGAGACCTACGGTAAGAGCTATTTCCCTATAGGGAAATTTGCTAAAAGTAAAAAATAATTTAAATAAAAAAAATCTTTTTAAAATAAAACCTTGTTTTAAACACACTAAAAAGTAAAAAATAATTAGTTGATAAATATGTGGGGAAAACAAATACTTGTAAGATTTAAAATGAAAAACGTGGGGGACATGCAATAAACGATAATAATTTAATAGGTTAAGATAATCGTAAATTAGCTATTGCATGCGCTCGATGTTTTTTCGTTTATAATTTTACAAGTATTTATTCTCTTCACATATTTATCAATTAATTATTTTTTACTTTTTAGTGCGTTTAAAAACGTGGTATGTTAAAAATATTTTTTATTTATAAATTTAAATGATTCTTTTTCTAACTATAGTAAACTTAAATCCATGGCTGTAATATTTACCAAGATGAAAATGAAAGAAGAAACTAGAACCAAACGAATCATTTGTGGTATGGTGGCTGCAAGACTTGTATACTAGTAACTGTTTTAAAGTTAGGTTGAAGGTTATAAACACATTGCGCTCACACATGTGTAATGCTCCTGACATATTCAAATAAACAAATCAATTAATCAAACTCTGTCATTTGCAAGCAACATGGCAGTTTACACTGCCTGACTATCTTTTAGACTTTTCATGAAAAAATATATTTAAAAGCAAAGATGTGAAAAGGTATATTTTTGTTGGTTTTACTAATAAAACTTACAAGTAGGTATAAAAAAATATGTCCAATCGCACTCTTGAAATAAGTGTATATTTACGCTTTGTTTTGAGAGTGATATTAGACGTAATTTTATATACTTTTTATAAATTTAACTAGCTGTAACCCGCGGGCTTTGCCCCGTTTAACTTCTTATTTTTCAAGATGATCTCGTTCGCATGGCTCAATCACGTCCTGGTTGAAGTTCATTCGCTACGCTCACTCACCTTTAGGTTGGAGGTCGTTTGCTATGCTCACTCACCTTTAGGTTGGAGCTCGTTCGCTGCGCTCACTTGCCTTCAGTTTAGCTCGTTCGCTACGCTCACTTGCCTTCAGGTTAGCTCGTTCGCTACGCTAACTCGCCTCCAGGTTGAAGTTCGTTCGCTACGCTCACTCACCTTTTGGTTGCGAATTAGCTGTTGTCATAGATGTAAAAGAAATAATAGTGCTGCACCCTGTTGGTAATCCTTGTAACTTTAATGCTATTGAACATCATAGAACAGAACCAACTTGTTTAATTGAAACAGCTGTTAAGATTCATTAATTCCATTTCTCATAAGGTTAACATGGGAAACTCCAGAGCCACTGGGGCAGAGCCGATTGGACGGATCACGAAATTGATGGTGTATAAACCTATTCCATGAAATTCTACAAGTATGTACCAAGTTTCGTGGCAATCGGTTCAGCGGTGTCTGAGTTTATCACTGCCAAACAAATATATATATATATATATATATACAAACATCCTCTTTTATACTTATAGATAACACGTGCAATGCTGATCAAGAAGGTGTTTGGTTGAAGTTCACAACGTTGTTGATATGATCTAATGAAACAGCTGCTGGCTGGGTTTGACGGGACTGCAACGATGCCAATTTTTCTTGCTGCGATCTTGTATTAGAGGAGGCTAGGTCAATGTGTCTACAGCCTTCAACTCAGACGCAATGTACACATTTTTAGACCTTCGGCATACAGAACGCATTTTGCACTAGTAGCAGAAGGTCTAAAATAATAAGAATGTTGTACCTTCCGTTACTAGTCCAAAATGCAAACTGTATGCTGGAGGTCTAATTGGAATTTCCAGGATTTAGACCTTCAGCAACTCTAATTTTATAAACAATTATTTACAAAATAAAAGTTGTGTGCTAAGGTCTAAATACCACAAGGTCTAAAAAAGTACCAGTAGATGAGTTTTCTTTATTGACTGTACTTTTAGACCTTCGGCTACAGCACGTTTAGACCCATAGCAACAAGTACAAAATCCAAAATGTGTGCCGAATGTGTAATTAGACCTTCCGGGATTCAGACCTTCAGTAACTGATCCCTGTACAGTACAAGCTGTCACACACTTGTCATTATTCTGTTTGTTTTGTTGGTAGCCCTGAGTATTCTACATCAGCATGCAATACAAGGAGACACCACAGCACTACAGTTGGCAGCAGTGCGGTGGTTGGCGTACAGTCGGACCCAACCTTGTGTAGACCCTAGAGTGCTGTACAAGCTGCTCACATCACTAGAGAACACTTATCTTTATTCTTTTTTTTTGTTGGTAGCCCTGAGTATTCTACATCAGCATGCAATACAAGGAGACACCACAGCACTACAGTTGGCAGCAGTGCGGTGGTTGGCGTACAGTCGGACACAACCTTGTGTAGACCCTAGAGTGCTGTACAAGCTGCTCACATCACTAGAGAACACTTATCTTTATTCTTTTTTTTTTGTTGGTAGCCCTGAGTATTCTACATCAGCATGCAATACAAGGAGACATCACAGAACTACAGTTGGCAGCAGTGCGGTGGCTGGCGTACAGTCGGACCCAACCTAGTGTAGACCCCAGAGTGCTGTACAAGCTGCTCACATCACTAGAGAACACTTGGCCTATGGAAGTGCTGTCCAGGGAAGAGGTGAATTAGACTTGCTTGCCTTGAATTTTAAAACACAATATGGGCAGAATTCAAATAAAAAAAAATTTGAATCCGTCTTGAGGAGGGTTCAATTTATTTAACTCATTCATCATAATAAGCTGTTCAAAGCACATAATTGAAATGTTTATATGAATTCTGAATTGTTTATTGATAATGGTTTTGCAACTACTTTGTTTAGATGAGTAACTTATTTAAAACTTGGATTTTACTGCTACAACAAGCCCTTCAGAATACAATTTAAATCCAGTTAACTGAGAGTGGTGTACCGTAGTTAAACACTGGAATGTTTAGCTTGCCTAAAAATAGAAATTGTTGCCTATACTTCGTTAAATCTACAGTTAACTGCTTAATGATTGTTACTCTGGTAGCCGCTCAAATCCAAGTTTATTTTACCAAATTTTCTATCTAGGGAATAAGCTATTACTGTAGCAATCATGGTAAAACCCAGACCCGGGTTTTGTTCAATAACTGGAATAAAAGTCATTCGATATTGGTTAAATTTGGTACAAATGAGTTAACCTAAGTTTTTTTGCTTGAGCTGGCAAACCACCATAATCTGACTTCAGGTACATGGTTTTATAGGAGATTTTATAAGGTAAAAATAGGTGTTTCCCCCTTTTGATCCTCAAAACACCAAATTTTGCTACCTTGTAGAAAACACAAATAATTTAGTTTATTGAAGCCACTTAAATAGTATTCTTACTTTTAGGAAATATTTTAGTGGAGATCTAGTTATGCAAAAAAAATTGCTGATCTATAGGGTTGCTCTGGCAGGGGTATTTTACCTTGCACAGGTTAAATTTATAAATGTATGCTGATTTTAGCACTGGATAAGTTTTGCCAAATATACAGTTAATATGTTAAGCTATTGTTAAGCAGTTGCTACTAAAATCTAAGTTGATTTTTCAACGTTATTAACAAGTGCAATTAATAATTATAATAATAAACTAGCTATATTAACTATTAGCTTTACCCGTGCCTTGTAACAGGGTCAGGATCCAGAAGAGATTTTGGTTCCTTCAAGATGCCGTAGAATGTTTGCTTCATCATGGAGTTTAATTTATTGGCACATTTTATACACTGCTATTAAGTGAAAAAAATCATTGAACAAGTTGCTCCCCAGTTGGCCATTTAACATTAATCTTATTTTACCAAAGAGTTTTAGCATCATTTTGAAAACAGCTGTTATTTTGCGATTTGACGAACACATTGTATTTCTTCATCTATTATTTTTATCTTCCCACTGCAAAAACTCAGAAGTAATTACAAGCATGTTTTCAGGAAGAGTGGTTAGCCGACTCTTTCAACATTTTTCTGGATTATTCGCTTCAACTTATCAGGAAACATCGAATACTCTTCCCTCCTCATCACCGACCCTCAATGTCTCGCTTGGAACATCTTTTAAGGTCAGCAACTTTTTTACAACTTTTACACTGTGGATACCTTATGTACGCTGTGAATCCTAATTTTATTTTAAAATTACACAATCAGAATATTTGGAAATGCCAAACCCCTCGTGGAATTTGACTCCCCTTGCTTCCATAACCACTGCGAATCAACTAACATATGTCACATTTTTGCACATTATTACATCTAATGCATAGGTGTAATTTTGTTCCTGCTAAGCCAGCAAAACTGTTACACTATCATCCTGTAGTATTGTGGGGTAATGCATTTTATAAAAGAGCAAAATATTAGCGTGTCTGTACTTATATTTAACATATTGTCTAAATATAACCTGTTCTTTAGGAGTGTATTACTTAGATCTGCTCACTTGCTACAGCTTGAACTTAAAGTAGTATGATCTTGCAACTTATTAACCTCCCAGGGTACCCAAGTCAGTTCAAAAGATCAAAACACATTATTAGGTAATTACCGGAGAACACAGGCCAAGGTTCACCCTTGCAGGTAGCCTATTCCTCATGGAGAAGTTGACCTATTTACGCTTTTCCACTGAAGCGCCCAAACACTTAAATTGCGATTTTATATCAGTAAAATAATGTAATCATGTTGCTTGTCTTAATTCACTTTCATTAATTATTGGGGGTTTTCAAAGAAAAAATTTTAATTGGTTAATAACAATTTTTTTTTCCGTCTGTTACATTTTGTCAAACATTTTTGACATTTACACCGAAGTACTCCTTGAAAGATTAATAACGACTATTGTGTTCACAGTAACTAAAAACCAAGTACAAACAAAGTCAGTGAGTATGTCGAGAAATGTCCTTATTTTAATTTTTAAGTTTAATTAAAGCTACAAAATTAAAATCATTTTGTGAATACAAACAAGCATATCTATGAGATGGTAATTTCATTTAATAAAATGCTAGAGATTGATGATTTTATCAATATGCATGACATTACAGATGCTTAGGATTGCTGTCTTCCATGAAGGCCTATTGGAAAGTTTGTCCTTTCAATAAAGAAGTCAGAGGAGAAATTATGCAATCGCTGAAAAAGGGAACCCAAGAATGGTAAATCTCACAACATAAGATAATCATTAGATAGCTATGTACATTACTATGGTCATATAATTGAGCGTACGAATCTATATTTTAGCTAGATGCTCTACTTGTGTTTCACAATGAGGTAAACACACGGAGAAGAACAAGAGTATATTTAATCTATATGATCATGTGGTTACTTAAACCTTATGCAGAAAAAAATTACATGCACAAGCCTCTAAGTTATACAAAATATTGAAAATAGCCTGTTTGGTACAGTTTGATAAGCTTTTTTGCAAAATAAAATGAACATAATCGGAATGTAAGTAAACAGTAAAAATTAAAAGATTGTGAGTATCCAAAAGCTCCATCTTGATCACTTTCACTTCAACTAACAGTCCCAGAGGTTTTTGAGGACATCGTAATGCCTTTGTTGATCGGTTTTCAACCAAAACTTTTGTAAACTATCAGCCCCTCAGTTCAATAGTCTTACCTTACCTGTGTGACAAAAAAATACATGGACAGTACCTCTACTTTAAAATTTAAATTTATAGATGTGAATTAGTGATTAACCCCCTGATTTCAATTTACAAGGTACGAAGAGCAACACAAAGGCATGGCTAACATGCGAGCAGACCCGGACACTAGGATTCTTGCTCTCGTCAAACTCATCACAGCCTTCATAGTCGATCTTCAGAAAGGCACTGACTACTACAACGGACTTTTCGAGAGGTAAGTTGTTAGGTTTACAACATTAGGCCGTATAACATTAATGATGAGGGTAAACACAGCCTCCTACAATTCAAGGCTACAGAGGTGGTATGTGGCACACACCGGCTAGCCTACTGCCATGTAATAATAACAGTAAACATAATAAATAACAGTAGTAACAAACATGTGAAAGTAACATTGCACAAAGAAGCCATTATAAACTGGTGCAACCAGCTGTTTCGGTCTGCCCAAAAAGCGGTGTTGCCACTTTGGTCTTAGAGGCCTTTGTATTAGAGGAGGCAATAAGGTTAAGCATTGACCACAATTTAAATATGAGTTAAAGAAGCCTATGATGAAAAAATAGGCCTACTGATAAAATGAATAAAACAGGAATCTACTAGGGTTGTCCGTGAATTAAAGTTTTCATTGTCTTTGCTTTATGCATGACCAAGCCAGTTCAAATCTGACACCAGTGCCATGTTCTCTACTTAATATACAACTGTTCGAGATGGATTCTACCCCTAAGCATTGATTAGATATGTGATTGTAACTACTGAAAATAATGCAAAGGGTATTAAACCCTCTCAAGTTTGAATCAAATTCTTCGATTAGGTTTAAGTATGAAGGGGATCAACCCCAATTGAAGGATTGGGTTTCTTCCATTGCGAGTTAAAGGATTTACAGAAAATGGTTTTGATGTCATAATGTGCGATAGTGGCTTATGATAGGTAGTTTAGTTTTCAATAGGGCTGTACACATAAGTACAACTGAGGTGGGTGTTGATCAATTTCAATTAAAGCAGAGATTAAAATTTCAAAACTGAGGAAACTGTCCTTACTGATCGACAAGTTTAACAGTGTAGTGTATATTTGTAGAGATTTTAGAGCCAGAAATATGACTCGCTCATTAGGTCAAGGGAAAAGCCAATTGGGTACCCTATTTTAGGCTCAAAGGTTTTACAAAATTAATATGATTTTTTTGTTGAATACTGTGGAAAACCATTATTTTTGTTTACAGCACCAATGGAGTTTCTTATTTCTGTGCTGTTTACAAACATCTGGAAAAACTTGTGAGTAAGAAAATCATGTTAAGTAATAGTGTCTTTTACCAAAGTAATATTTTTTTTTTGTTTTAGTGTGATTTTTCTGGTAAACCGAATATTTGACGTAATTTAGAAACAGAACACATTTGCTTGCCAATTGAATGAAGTAGTCTAGTTTTAGCTTGTAGGTCTAGTAATAGAAATAATTGACATTTTTAGAAAATATTTTTTAGTTAAAAAATGAAAAAAATGTGATCTTTGAATAATTCCCTTTTTATCTGTACATGAAAAGAAATAGACTAAAAGTAAATTATACAAGTTTTACTTTATTTTTTGTAATTATTGTTATTTAATTTTTTACCCAATACACTAGTAGATAATTAACAATCCACAGTTTTTAAAGTTTCAGTGACTTCCTTCCTTCCAAGTCTGATTATGTGCCTAATATAAGTTCTTGAAGTTTACAGTAATTTCCTGTTGTGAACAAACTTTTCTTCCAAGTTCAATATTTAGTCTGATGAAAGGTGAATCAGTTCAGGCAACAGCAACAGTGGTTAATTAGGCTTTAAGTATACATCTTTTTAATTTTGTGTTGTTTATAGTTTGAATCAACACTGAATATACGAACAACAACACTGTGCTTAACAAATGCCTCTCAATTTTTGTGAATTTTTTGTCATACTTGGTGTACACGAGGAGTACTTAGGTTTTTAAATATTTAAAATAGAACTTTAAATATTTGTTTTTATATTAGGCCTATACATAAAATAAGCTAAAGGAAAAAATGTATCAGGTAAAGAATATTTTTTATTGTTATTTTTATTAAATTAAAGATAGTACTGTACTGGATTATTTTCACAGCCTATAATGGAACAAATTTCTTGTGCGTTTTCATCAGTAAAAGAAAAAAAAAAAACTTAAAAACTTTGATTGAATTAAGTCTCAAACATATTACTGATTTCATGGAATATTGTTGAACAGTATGCTATTCACATTTTCAATTAAATATAAAAACATATATTTTTATCACTACCTGTTTAATATATTGCCCTACAGTATTAAACTCAAAACTTGTATTTCACTAGGTTCTTAAAATGATATTTTAGTCCTACGCTGTTTTCTAGTTTGAACATTGCTTTACCAAAATAGTTTTTTTGAACTTGGTTCGGGCCCATTTTGTATGGCTTATCGTGTAGCGTTAACATTTATAACTTTGACTGTTCAGTGATGGAACTGTGTGTCTGGTATTAGATTTACCGGACCCCCATACTGCAATCCGGCGTTTTAGCTTTTTCATTGTCTTGTTCTTTAGATGGCCAAGGAATTCTCAAGAGTGGTGGATATTCTTGAGGTACAGCATCAAAACGATGATGCGTCAAAGCGATGACAACATCGTGACGTCTGCATCGCTGCTTAAAGTTTGGCTTTGCTTCGGGGGTAGATTCAGATTGTGAAGACGAATGCACCGTAGCTATTTTAATGCAATATGCAAATAAATGCTGGAAGAATGATGTCTGATTTTCATGAACAAGTTTTCTAAAGTAACATTTTTAGTAAAATTAGTTTTTTTGCTGAAACTTTGTGGTTTTTTACAATCAAAAGATGAAATAAAAGTTGTTTAACAAATTCCAAATACAAATATTGCATTGTGAAATAGCTATGGTTTGATTTAGTGACTATAGAAAGCTATCACTTACTTTTTCTGCTTCTAATTATAACTTTCCCACTTACGAAACGTTTCAGTAACATTACACCAACTAAAAACATGTTGTACATTCACCAAAGATGTTGAAAAATCTATATATAAATTCAAGTGCGAAATTAATTATTTGTTAATTCCTTATCAAATAGTAGGCCTATATTTACAAAAAACTTGAAAGTCAAAAATGTTTGGTAAATTTATTGTACGGTAAAACTTATCAGGCCTAACCAAAATGAAGGGGGTTAAGCATTGTACGGTAAAACCTAATAACTGAAATAAAGGGGGCGAAGCTGTTACATATAACTTATTTTTTTTATACAAATGCATTATTGAAAACTAAGTAATACCCTTTTTTAAATTTTATAATAAAACTTAGTTCGAGCCGGTAACAGAGAGATGTATCGAGTGAGTGATAGCAGTCTTGCTTACTTTAGGCTCTGCTTGTCTGCTTATATGTCTGCGGCGGTCTAGTCAACGACATGTCTCTACGTTAATTAACAATGTTCCTGCATTTCACCTTTTTTCAACTCTTAACGCATCTTGACGCTTCAGTGTTGTTGTATACTGCTTAATAATTGTTTTTTCATAAGTTTGTTTGCATTATTTGATGTGTATTTTTGCTTATTGTTTTAAATAGTAAATAAGTATAACATTTTTGAACATGCAAGATTTTTTATTTTTAAATGATAAATTGACAGTTAAATCTTAAGAAAATGCAAAGAAACTGCAAAAACGTTATACAAATTTGACAGTTAACCTGAACAAACAGAAATATAGGAAAACAATCTTTAACGTTTCTAGATTATAGAGTGCAAATAATAAAAAATGAATAAATAACCATATGAAGAATTTAAGGTTAAATGAAAATTTGGTATAGCTAACTGCGCACAGCCTAAATACATAAGTGATGTGCCAAATTCTTTTGAGATCATAACTCTTTACTAACATCTACAGCCTACAACGATTTTCGAGGATCAACGTATTCATACTTATTAAAAGCTTAAATCCTGCATGAATCTAAAAATAAATCTCCTGTGACCACCTTTTATCAATATCATGCCAGCAATTTAAGGATCCAGAAAATGGAGGAAAACTTTTGGGAAAAATGTAATTCCGATCAATGAGAGAAAATTAAATTTCATTCAGGATTTTCTTGGGACGTGATATTTTTTGATTTGTCAGCGCTTATCCTTTACCCGCATTGCGAGTCAAAATGGCGTTTCTGCGATGGCAGGCGATGATGATCATGTCTCAGCAATAGCGAGAAATTTTCTTGATGGTACTGTGATTGCGAGATGTGTTCACCCTGAAATTGGGCTGCAAATAAGAAAAATGTTGATGATGGGGTTGTGATTAGGATTACCATCAATCATACCACAATCCAATTACTAATTAATACCTGATAAATCTTTATAAAAAATATTTATATCATTTCAATTTAATATTCATATCTACTGGTATTACAATGGTAGATTCACTGAAGTAAATCAAATTAAACAATGTATAAATAACACTTTTGCACTTTAAACCGTTATTTTCTAATACATAGCTTGGGGAGTGAGCTGGTCTAGTTGTAGAGCGCTGAGTTTTGAGTCCGAGGTCCTGGGTTCAAATCCTGCCAATCACCAATAGATTTTATCCGTGTGCGACTCCTAGGTCAAGCCTGAAGTAATGTTTTAAACAGTTCTACGCTACCTAGTGTTCTAGAATATAAAGGTGGGACATAAAAACACCAGATGAGTTTTGTAGTAATAAATACCTATTTGAACTCCTGAAGTTTGCGTTAAGGGTTGAAAGGGTTTGTTAGAGTGTTACTGCTTTACATGTTAGTGATGTTCTAGCCCAGTCTTCAGTGCCATTGTCCAGTTATATTTTCCCGTTCTGTGTCTGTACATACTGAATGGCCCGCGGCATTTAGATAGTGTTAGCTGCATAGTGCGTAATATACTTGTACATTACAATTTTATGACATTGTACAATATTCTGAGTCATATTATTGGTAATTTGTGTGTGCATTATGTTATTGTTTTCCACTGTTTTTATTTTATTGACACTTCCCTTCTTTGGAATTTATTCTACTTTGTGTTTTATTTCGTTAATTTAATATCCTAGTTCATTTTTGTGCTGTTTCTAATAAAACTGATTAACATTGTTATTCAAGGAAATGTTTAATTTTGTACAGTATTTTTTCACGATATACAATTTTCAAAAAAGGCCTCTGAAATTATATATTTTGATTCAACTTTTTTATTTTTCTGCATGTTTGCATGCCATTGAATTTTCTAAATGAAATTAACATCTAAAACTAATAGGCCTACTTATCAAAATATTTAACTTTTGCTCAGCTGTAAAACTTTAATTAATTGAGCAACAGTGTGTTAAATTTATTAATTCCAAACAGAAATTTACAACATTTTAATTCTGGTTGTCCTGCATTACAATTTATGTTCATAGTTGTTTAACTTTGATTATAATAGGTATATTTTTTTAACTTCTTCTTTTAATTGCCTCTTTTTATGTTTTTAAAATCTTCTTCAATTATTACTCTTACAATTTTGTTTATTTAAACTGATCTCTAACTAATCACACAGGTTTCTGATAACTTCAATTCCGTCATAAAATGTTATTGAAACAATTTCAAATTAAGTACATTATCTTGGTTAGGATACTAATTGTAATCACTGTACCATTCAGATCATATTGTTAAATAAACAAAACGAGAAATACAATAGTTGCCCACTCCATTTCTTACTGAGCCTAAAATTGAGTTAAACTTTTGCTATACTGTTGAAGCAGTACTTGTTTGATATATTCATTTAATTAAAGTACGCCGTTAATTTGTGAAATCCCCAATAAATTGTTAAGTCTCGAACCTTTCCAACTCAAGTTTTTCAATCATGCGTTTAATTTCTTTTTGTTCAAGGTTATATATTTTTGTAAACATCAATTTTTTGTAAATTTTCAAGTTAACCAACAAGTTTGGGACAAGCTTTGTTTAAAAATTTTATGAACACTTAACAATTAATTTTAATTGTCGTTGTGACTCATCGTAAATATATTCACTTTTAAATTAATTTTTCATGACCAAGTTTTATTTTTAGTGTAAAATAGTGTCCAATTAAATTGAAAATTTGGCCACAATGTAATTTTTGTTTGTATTCAACAAATTACAAAACTTGTGACTGAAAATTTTAATATTTTACCTCCTTTTAGCGAGAACCAATAGTTAAATAAAAACCTAATCAATATCCTGCAGTTGTCTACTAGAGTATTTCAAACCAGACAATATGGTATGCTATATTGTTTAGGTAATGTTCTATTCAGATCTGTTTTAAGCTATTTACAGTTTTTCTATTTTATAAATTATTCAAAACACTTAACTGGAAAGGTGTGGATTCCGATTGTACCCAAAGTTCTGATAGATGAATCAGTAAATATATTCTGACTGTAGATATTTGCTGTGTCGTGACTGTATAATTGTTCGCTTGAGGTGGTGAACGACCTCGGGCCCGAGATGTCTACGTTGTGTCAACAACTGAGGATAACAGAGCTGGGAGTTGAGCCTCCGAATCTTCCACCGGGGGCTGAAGTGGGAACTCCGATCTTTGAGCTTTACCTCTCCGTGCAGGAATTTATCAGGTAGAATACAGAACTGTTAATACTGTTTTACCACACTAAGTAGGTATTTTAAGCCAAGTATGAATGGAGATGAGTGTAGGATGAGTGGCGCGATCTTGTAGTCTTGTTAGTGACTAAGGCCGACATTCCTTAGACACAGCTGTTAATTAATAGCCCATACAGCTAATGGCAACTAAGGGACCTACAGTTTATAGTGGAATCCGAACCACATTTTTGCCTTGGTAATTACGAATTGGTCTAATTATCAGGATAGTACTGTGGATAGTCCTAGTACTCACCCGTGCGGATGTTAATCCACACTGGGGAGTATCGCATCCACAGTGCATGCCTATAAATATCCACAATTTGTGACCTAGTAGCTGGATTACAGGACGACGCCACCCGTCCCAGAACTGTTTCAATTGTAAGTTTAAACTGTGTAAACAAGAATTATTCCAGTATACAAGGACTGTTCAGAAAGTAGGGAACGTTTTGGAATAAAATAAACTGTCTGTATGGGAGAAAAATTATATTGCCTTATAAGATCACAGGGAAGTGAGGTACAGTGGAAACACACTTACAGTACGACCGTACGCTTTCAACTGTGGTATTGTTGTGCTGGAAATGTACATGACTAGAATGGGAGAGCCCGAATCTCTCCCACTGTGCACTGCGTGAAATTCCTATCACACAGGGTCTTCCTCCGCCGAGTGTTTTTTAGTCAAGTGTCAGTTGGACTTTGTGTTGTTTAGTTTGTGAGTTGGACTTTGGCCTAGACACAACTTAACTATTAAATGTTTCTCTGTACCTACCTTTCTGTGATAAGATCAAAATTACTTTTTCCCTACATAGGTAGCCACCAAACAAAATGATGCTCTTATTATAGTGGTGAAGATTTGAAATTTCTTTGTAATAGAATTCAGCTGTCTGCAATCTCAACCACTTGGTGGTCCATTATGACACTTGGAAATACAACTAAAAATAGTGCTATAGAGATTAGGATAATATTCAAAGCTATATACATTCTAATACAGTTTCAGAGAACATCTGCCGGAACACAAGTCCTTATCAGTCCACAGCTACTACGAGTGGTTTGAACCTGCTGTTGACAAGTGGCTTGACTTGGCAAAGTTCAAGGTCAGTTTGATAAAGGCTTTCTCTCGTTTTGTTGATAATTTTCACAGAGAAGAAGAGTCAATGTTAGAATGCTCATTTAACAATAATGAAATAGTATATTTCACTACTAGTCACGATAGTGGGAGCAAGCTGGTCTAGTGGTTAGAGTACAGGACTTCGGTGACTGAAGTCCCAGGTTCAAAACCCGCAAAATCACCAATGGATTTTATCCAAGTCATAATGCTGCAACCCCTAGGTCCAGCCTGAAGTAATGTGAAAAACAATTCCACTGTAGATAAAATTCATTGGTGATTTGGTGGGATTTGAATCCGGAACCTCTGGAACCGAAGTCCCACGCTCTAACCACTAGACCAGCTCGCCCCCAAAATATACCCCATGGCACATGCGAAATATACAATTAATTTTTTTTGTGACCTTTCAACTGACTGGAACCGTTTATTGGGAAGTCCAAGTCAGTTGTATATTAATTTTCTTCTCCCTTGGTGTATTCCTAAGCCTAGTGCCTTTTCCTCCAAAAAAAAAAACAAAAAAAAAAACACAAATATTTTTAATTTTCCTCAAAATTGTCTCGACTGAACCATCAAATGTTTGTCCTCTAAAACTTCAAAGTCTCAATAACAATATTACTATCGATCAAGAATGATGGCAAATGAAATAGAGAACACCAACCTGTTTAAAAAATGTATTTGAATATTTGTACTGAATATAAATTAACATTTATTTTTTAGGCATTAAACAGAATAAAGAAAGCTGCAGAGCTAAACAGATTCTGCTCAGGGGACTACATTGTCAAACATAGCACATCAGCTGTGGATACATCTGCTGTGTTTTATCAGGTAAACAACATTTAGTTAGACGATTGCAAATAAATTTTAACGCTAAAACAAAAACCTTTAACACTTTCCAACCATGTTTTAAACAATCCAGAATATTAATAGTAAATATTTGTCTGCAGTGTGTTTTTTTTTGTTTTGTTTTTTTTCATTTAAATTGTGTAAAACACTGCATCCTTGGTTTGGAAAATATTTTGAATGAATTTTTACCGTTAATTAAACCATTAGAAACATTATGTTCTGTATTTTTACCACAATTACATTTTTTCTATTGATTTTGTCCTGAAAATGTTGCTAAATATATTCTTTTGACGGTGGTTTTGTTTGTTTTGTTTCAGTTAAAAGAGTTTTGGAAGCAACTGGCTTGGCCTGATATTATTGGTTCCTACAATTTGGTTGTCAAACTGATAGATGTAAGTATTAAATATTAGTTTTTTTTAAGCTTAGAGATTAAATGTTCTGTTATCATCATCAAACAATAAACCCAGTGCTCGATTTGCGGGGGAACACAGTTCGGGTACTTCTATTTTGAAAAGATAAAATATTGGCATGAATAGGTCACAAATCACATTAAATAGTTTACAGTTCCGGCACCTCATGTTTTACAAATCGAACACTGAATAAACCATTATTGTTTGATTCACAATATACAAAGTACATTTTTATATCTGTTAAGATTTTTCCTATACAATAATCTTACTCTTAATCTTCTTAAATTTAGTAAAATTTTCTAATTGTATAGATTTTTTTTAAGAGGTTGGCGGCCTCTTTTAACCTTGCATTTTCCCGTCCACATAGACTACAGATCTGTGCGTGGAACGTATCCAGCAAAGCAAGGGGTGAACCAGGACAGTACAAAGGTGAACTGTACTGACAAAATGTTCGTGGCAGTGATCAGGATCGGAATCCACGACATCGCTGCCTTGGGCCCAAAGTCCGTGACGCTACCAACTGAGCCAGTTTTCTTAGTTTGCTTGCCTATTGATATGTATTTTTTTCACAGTGCATATGCAGTGGCGCCATTTACTATGCCCAACTTACCCAGCAGAAGCTACAAGAGACGGGGTATTACGAGGATAATTCCGCCTTCCGCACCACCGATGAGGTAATGGTAATGTAAATATTCACATTACCCCTGTAAAAGGTGTTCAACGTAATGTGTTTCTTGACTCTTCTGTCTTCCGGTTTACAGCCTGGTCTGTTTTAGTGTTTTTAAGAAATTGTTAAGAATTGATCAATATTAATCCTTTGATGTGTCCATAAGACTACTTATTTTGTTTTCTAAGATCTCATTATCATTTCAGGTGTACATTTAAGTTAAGTTTATTTATAGTTTACTGTGACAAAATTCTTTACTTCCTCTATCAATCTTCCTAAGGTCCTACTTCATCTTTGGTCCTTAAATTCCTGCTCTTTAGATGTTGTTTGATGGATCGATTCTTTTTATTGTGATACTTGTAATACAGTTGTTTACTGTACTGTATTTTGCTGTTTTGAGCTTTTTTTAGTTTCAGTGAAACAGCTTGTTCTAAGATTTAAAAACTAATTTGTATTTATCGCCATTTTGTAACTGTATGGGGTTGTCCAACAACTATGGTTTCTGTACTGTGGACATGTCATGTGAGAAACAATTTGCTAATATTAACTTATATAGTTACAAGCAGTTTCTTGGGTCCAAAGATGTGGCTTTTGTTGGGTACATCTTTTAGCCTGTTTTGTTGAGTATTATAGAATTTTATGGTTTTATCTTGCAAGTTAAGGTCTGGCTAACCAGGACATACTGCGGAACATGTTGCAAGACATGTGTTGAGATATTTTAATTTGGGAGACAATAATTGTGTGACATGGTGTCGGGTCGGGGCATGTTGAAGGATATGTTGAGGGAAAAGTTTTGAGATTCGTTGTGAGAAATTTCGCAAAACATAATTGACATGATGAGAGACATTTTGTTATGGGTGCTGCAAGGTGTGTTTTAAGTTATTTTGCAACATTGTTGCAGGGTATGTGTGGAACATGTGGCAGGATATGTTGCAAGACACATGTTGAAATATGTTGTTAGATATGCCGGGACAGGCCTATGTTGAAGGGGAGATTCTTTGCTCTTTTGCCTTCACAACCTACAGCTAGTTAGCGAGATATTGTGATGTACTGTTGCAGATGTGTGTCGCAATGAATGACCTGGAGTACGTGAGACGCAGTGTGACTCTACTGCCTGATGAGCTTCAGGTCGAGGCGGTGTTGGAGGCTGTAGACGCCGCAGGGGATCATTCCACCCAATGGCGAGACAATATTACTCAGCTGCTTGACTCCGCTACCCATCAGCTACTAGCCGATGTCATGATGATTATCAACCGCATTGGTGTTAAGGTTTGCGATGCTATTGATGAGTGCAAAACGGTTGGAAAGGATAATCTTGCTCTAACAAGATATCATTTAATTAGGACGAGAGGTCGTCCAGTGGTCGAAACTCGACCAAAAATATGTAATGTACTCATTTCTCTATTTTCACCCCACACTGTAAATAAAACATGTGATTGGAGTTTCTTCCATTTGTTTTGATTTTCTGTTTATATTTCGTTGTTATTTCGTCACCATCATGGCAACGCATAAAATCCATGTTAATTTTTTCAAATTTTCAAACTCATTTTTTGTGCTTATCTTTGAGCCTATTTAAATTTATAAAGGGATTCTGCACACCTACAGGAAAATTGCTTTCTAACGGTATGCGCAGATTTAACCCACGATGCACACAAGCTGAGAAAACAGGTTTTAAAGAAACATGCTTGCCTATTAATATATAGATAGATTCCTTCTGCACTAAGTGCTTTTGTTTTGCAATGATACTTTTAAATGTACAATGTTGATCAGGATTGAGAAAGATTTGGAGCATTTTTGCATCCTGTACCATCCTTCACATAAAGAAGCATGCTTAACAAATCAGTTTTTACGAAACAAAACCTTTAAAGAAATAACAACTCCTGGCTGAAGTACATAAGATTATCTAAATATTTACATGTTTTCCCATTACTTTTACCCAAACAACCAATGTTACAGATGCGACCAGCCTTAAAAAAGTCCATGTTTCACCTCGCATGGTCACCCGACTCCCTTCCAACCAGTGACGCCATCACTCCCCTTCTAGAATACCTCGACTCCCACCTGATTGCGCTCAACTCTGCCTTGCTGCCACGCAACTTCGAGCGTGTGCTGGCGCTTGTCTGGGACACGTGCGTTACTGAGTTGGCACACCAGATGGATGGTCATGCGCAGGACAAGATGCCCGGCTTTTACGACCGACTCTACGAAGCGCTGGATTTTCTAGCAGAATTCTTCCATGCCGATGGCAAAGGCCTGAATCTGGAAGGTTTGAAGACAGGTGATTAAAACATTATGGATGGATAGAAACTAATTGGACATACCAATACTGAGACTATTTACAATCAAAATCATGTAAGCTTAAGACAGAGGTGTGTTGATACTAAAAATTGATCGATTCTTGATACCAATACCTGAAAAATCTTCAATTTAACAAAACTTTCTGTACGTGTTGGTTATACAGGATACCTATTTATTTTCTTTTAACACAACCCAAATTAAATGTAGTGTGAGACACATTTTTATTACAAAACTAGCTGTACCCGCGGGCTTTGCCCCGTTTAACTTTATAAGTGAGCTCGTTCGCATGGCTCAATCACGCCCTGGTTGAAGTTCGTTCGCTACGCTCACTCACTTTTAGGTTGGAGCTTGTTCGCTGCGCTCTCTTGCCCTGCAGGTTAGCTCGTTCGCTACGCTAACCCGCCTCCAGGTTGAAGTTTGTTCGCTACGCTCACTCACCTTTTGGTTGCAAATTAGCTGTTGTCATAAATGTAAAAGAAATAATAGTGCTGCACTCTGTTGATAATCCTTGTAACTTTAATGATATTGAACATCATAGAACAGAACCAACTTGTTTAATTGAAACAGCCGTTAAGATTCATTAATTCTAATTAAATATGAGTACTCATAAGGTTAACATGGGAAACTCCAGAGCCACTGGGGCGGAGCCCGAGAGTCCGATCAGAATAAAAACAGCTTAGTTTTCCTATTTAATGCCTAAAGAATCAGTGTACCAAATTTCAGTCTCCTAGGTAAATGGGAAGTGAGAGAATTAGTGATGAGTGAGTGAGTGAGTCAGTCAGTCAGTGAGGGCTTTGCCTTTTATATATATAGATAAGCTGATATGTTGATACCCCGGTTTTCTCTACTTCATTGCCGATCAGCTGATATGATTGTTGCTTTCTTGTCTATGAGGTTTAGTGTAATTGGGAATTTATTGCAAATAAGACACAATAAGTTTCCCAAGTGCAAAGAGTTGTAAGAACACGTTAAAAGTAAATTATTGATTTTATACTAATAAAGTTTTTAAATTAAGTTTCCAGGCGTGATTCCAGTAACTAATAAATCAACTAATTGACATGTACAAATTTAAGGAAACCAGATCCGTACAAATTTAATGAAAAACTAGACCTAAAATACATACTCTTTTTGAGATTGTGATAACACCATGTTACTAAACATGAATAAATTCGACAATACCATTTTGTTTCAGTTTTTTAACACCATCTTTGATTTTGATTCTTCGGTGTTGTGCCCAAACCTCTCCTTATTAACCCAATTCAACAGTATCGGCCCTTCCTGACTTACATGGACCATTTTCAGAGGTTTACCGCGGTGTGGAGCAGAGGCTAGGTTACCACAAGACTGAGACAGAACAGCTGATCAACATGTACTACATAGAGCGTCTGCAAGAACAGTTTATCACCGAGGCGACACCGTATGGCGTGCTGACTGTACGAGCGTACTTCCATCATGACTCTCTCTGTGTGGAAGTACTGAACGCCAGAGACGTCATACCACTAGATCCCAATGGTGGGTCAATGTTTATTTATTTTATTTTAGCTTTAACATTTTGCTCAGGGAGGAGAGTTTAGTTAAAATTCTGATGGATGTTAGTATAACTCCTGAAGCATTCATGATAGTAATTCAGCAATCAAAATCTTTGGTAATTAGGTTAAAACAAGTTGGGCCAACGGACCAAAACAAGATAGTGAAGTGTTTTTTCCTTTTTTCAGTAAACCACTTTGGCATTATGATTATACAGTGTTTGAAAAAGTTAATTAGTTATTGCATGATTGATTAACCTGAAAGTATTTTTTGATTAACCATCATGGTTACAGTTTCTGGTTATTACAAGTTAAAAGTATCCACAATTGATTTTTCCCCTAAATAGAAAGTTAAAAAAAATACAATTCTTTGGGATATTTGGCTTACAAAATATGTATTTGGCTTACAGAAAAAGGCGGTTCGAAGCATTGCTGGAGAATGCTCAGATACACATTTTAAACCTCTTTTCATTAATTTCAGGATACCAACCATAGTAAATCTTTATATATTCCAAATTCTAATATATACAAAGTCAAACTTAGATCAATTCTCTTTCCGAAAAGACGTTCACAATCACTATACAAGAGGTAGGGATAAAATAGATATATTGCAGCACAGATTGGCAAAAACCAAACATTTACATAAATTAAATTGTATAATGTTTTTTAATAAGCTGCCTGAAGAAGCAAAATTAGTTTCTTACAGTATTTTTAAAAATAAACTGTATGACTGGATTGTTAAAAATCCCTTTTACAAAATTGATGATTTTTTAAGTTGTGAAATAAATATTAGATTTTGAAGAGCAAGTTGAAATAAAGCTTTTATTTTCATGTAAGTGGCTATTTAAATTTAGATATTTTGTACTGTAAACACTGAATCACCTTGTTTGTAACTATGTATAACAATGACGTGTCCTATTTCTTTTATAAAGATCAATGGAAATAAATATTTCTTATTCTTATTCTTATTCTTATTACTCACAATATTATAGACCTAGTTAATAAATTTGACTGATCCAACCATGAGATAGGTCTTTTGTTCCCCTAAAATTAGGTATTTGTTTATTGAAACATGGTTATCTTAAAAAGTGTTGTTTTACAGGTTTTAGTGACCCATTCGTCATAGTAGAACTTCTGCCAAAAACTCTGTTCCCGCATTGCAACGAACAAGTCACAAATGTACAGAAGAAAACTTTGAATCCGCTATTTGATGAATGTTTTGAATTGTAAGTAGCTTTGTCTCTTGTTGTAGTACTTAGTAGAAATGTGCAAGCTGAGAATTTTGTGTGATTCATGTTCTTATTTATCCTATTGCACTATGTTCTAAATAAAAAAAAAAACCATTTGATTGTCATAATATTATTATGGTCTGACTGAACGAGAAATACTATCAAACTAACAGCCAGTGCCTAAACTCACAGCCCAAACTCACAGCCAGGTTAAATAAACCCAATCAGCTTATAATCAGCCCTTAGGTGAAGTTTCCCTGCAATTGCGTCAAAATTATAGACATCACTCGTATATCATCATTGCTGACTGTGATCGTACCCAATCATTAACATCTATCGCAAGCACAGGGACATCATCATCACTGCCTGCAATGCCAAAAATCAGCAAAAAAAATCAAATTTCTTTCAGCTCGGTGAGTCTAGACCAGTGTCGAGCTGACGGAGCGATGGTGGCGTTTACAGTGATGGACCATGACGTACTCACAGCTAACGACTTTGCTGGGGAGGCGTTCCTGTCTCTTGGCTCCATCCCTGGAGTCAACAGTGCTTGCAATGCAGACAACTTCCACGGCCTCAAACAACTGGAGCTGCCACTCATGCACCAGAAGAACAAAAGTAACTAATCTGTTTAATGTAGATTATGTTTGTGGGTTCGGGAAGTGTAACAGTAAATGAAACCACATTAAAACTCATCAGCTAGGATTAAAATAATGTGTCTCTGGTTAGAAACATGATTGAAAAAAAAAAAAAAGAAATGACTATTATATAATTGCCTGTTGGTAGCATCTTCTGTCAGTTTGGAAAACTGCATAAGTCACTTGTTTTTAAATTTTTGTAGGGTACTTATTTTTTTGTCAAATGAGTTTAAACCAGGGGAGCTGTGCGCAAATTACGCATTTAAATGTTCTGGAGGTAGTACGAATCACTATTTTACCTAACAAAGCTGTTTTTGTACAAATCAGGTTCTTTGTTATTTTAAGGGTTTTTATAGGAAAACTAGTAGTTACCCGGCACGCGTTGCTGCGCTTACAACTATAATATTAAATGGTAATTTTTTCTTTACGATAAATATTAAATAATAAAAATGTATACCAAAAACAAAAATAGAATATTTATCTATATATAAAGCCAAAAGTACCCATGAACTTTTGAGAAAACACACCCCCATAAACCATATACTTCGTCATGGCGAGAAACCTTACTCAAAACTATCCATTATGTCATAAATTGCCCTTTAAGGTCATAATTCCTTTCTAAAAGGGAACTTTTTATATACCTAATGTTAAAATACCTCAGCTGTACTTATTTGTTTGTTATTCTTTCAATTTATTACCTTACTAGCTGTACCCGCGGGCTTTGCCCCGTTCAACTTCATAAGGATTCGCATGGCTCAATCACGTCCTGGTTGAAGTTCGTTCGCTACGCTCACTCACCTTTAGGTTTGAGCTTGTTTGCTGCGCTCACTTGCCTTCAGGTTAGCTCGTTCGCTACGCTAACTCGCCTCCAGGTTGAAGTCCGTTCGCTACACTCACTCACCTTTTGGTTGCAAATTAGCTGTTGTCATAAATAAAAAAAAAATAATAGTGCTGCACCCTGTTGGTTATCCTTGTAACTTTAATGCTATTGTACATCATAGAACAGAACCAACTTGTTTAATTGAAACAGCTGTTAAGATTCATTAATTCCTTTTAAATATGAAAAATCATAAGGTTAACATGGGAAACTCCAGAGCCACTGGGACGGAGCCCGAAAGCCCGATCAGAATAAAAACTACTTAGTTTTCATATTTAATGCCCAAAGAATTGGTATACCGAATTTCAGCCTCCTAGGTAAATGGGAAGTGGGAGAATTAGTGTGAGTGAGTGAGTGAGTCAGTCAGTGAGGGCTTTGTCTTTTATATATTTAGATTAAAATCAGGTGTGATTATTTGTTTCTTTTACTGTATTTTGTTTATTTCAGATTAACTTAACCAATCAATAGTTTTATTAATACTTATGATGTCAAAGGGGGTAAAGCCCGTGGGTAACAGCTAGTTTTACTTAATTGCCAGTGGATAAACAATATTTTTCGTTTTTTCACTAGGTGAATAAATATAAAAGTTTTCAGGCATACGTATGTCGCATATGCATGTCGTGAGCACGCAACATAGAGCTGTCCGTGTGAAAAGCATGCATTGTCTAAATTTAAACCGGTGATAGTCAGGGATTGCTCTTGTGCCTTATAATGGTGATTGCAAAAGCAAGAAGCAAAGAAAATTGTAGTCACTTGAATTCAAAGGGTAATTTGCATGAAATCATCGGTATTCTTGGTTTCTCCTTTAAACTTACCACTGATGATTGTTGCTTCGATCAAGTTTGTTTTCATGTTTTTTAATCCTCAGTCTGGTTCCATTGCTCAGCTTGGGGAGATTTAAGTTTCGCATTAGTATTATTGGAGTTCCTTCTTTTAATGACAGTAATGTGGTGGGTTAATGGCAAATTGGGAGGCATTTTAATACATGAGATAGCACGCACAGTTATTATTCACTTAATAATTTATGTTAGATTGTGTGGGTATACAACAAAAGAAAAAAATATTAAGGCATTGCCATCTTTTTTATTGTTTTTAATACTTCGATAACGTTTTTTTTTACTTGTTATGTTTACATATTTAATAGTGGATAGTTTAAACATTGTTGAGTGCACAGGTTTGCTGCAATTGGGGTTTAAAAGTAAAATAGTTTTCTGTGCAGCATTCTGTGGAAACAATGTGGCACTATTTCAAATTAAGACTACTAATACAGAATGTTGTGATTATTCAAAACTACAAAACAGTTGGTGAAAGTAAACATTTGCTTTTAAATCCTTATATATAATATGTGAAGGTGATTTCTACAAAACACTACTCCTCCGTTAATAATGGACGGATTTTTACAAACGACGTGTCAAAATAAAGTATTTTTTGTGTAGACGACCCCTTTCACCAATTCCTGTAATAAAATTCCTCGGGCTTTGCCCCACAGGCCATCAAAGTTGGAGTTTCTCCCATAAGATTAACATGGGGAAATTTAAATATTTAATTGGAAACTTTGTCCCCACTAATTTGAGAGAACGGCTAGGCGTAGAAACTTGGTAGAGGTGTCCAAAGAAAGGTCTTGGTCTGTAGATGAGTTTCCAAAAGAAAAACTAAGCAAAATCCCTTAGGACTCTGCCCCAGAAGGCTTTAAAGATCCCTCCACAGAGTTGTTTACATTTTGGCCATGTGAATAATACTTTTTAATAAAACAGCTGTTCATTTTTAAATTGTATTTCAAACAACACACATTTATTGGGAGTTACTGAATTCGTCTATCATTCTACCAAATATAAGTATTTGCAACGTTATTTTCTGATTTTAAAATTGATTTTCTTCTTTATCATGTTATGTTTTGCAATATTACGTTCCATTACAAAATCAGTGGAAAATCCTTTTATAACAGCAATTCTTAAATTATTAAATTATTCTTATACCTATTGTACAGGTTGGTGTCTGCCGTTTTCACCACTTTTGCCTACATTTTATCATATTATTCTACACATATAAAATATTTATGTAGATATATCTGCTCTTATCGTGTCAAATAAAATCCAAACATAGAAACCTTGCCTTAAATGGTACCCATCTTGACAAATTATTTGCACCTTCCTATATTACGGACTTTGGCGCACTAGATCACATAATCCTTTATAAGATACGTTGATTAACAATATGTAAACCTCAATATATACGTAACAGCCAATTTGCAGTATTTTTGCTTTTTGGAAATGTCCCATTGCTATGTCATTTGCATTATTTGTTGCCAATGAAGCCGCAAGATCATATGGACTAGGAGGCCCCTAACAGTTCAAGAATAAATGCCAACTTCACTTCAAGTATTCCACTACACCTAACATTCCGTAGAGAGATTATATTGATAACTTTATGTTATTGATAAGGCTGACACAACTGACACCCCCCATGTCAAGGAATTCCAGCTTTAACAGTAACCCCACAATCAGTTTCTCAAAACTGTGCTCGAGGGTTATTCATTGGCACAGAAGTACGATATGAACTGACGCGACGTGACGAAGGAAAAATCAAACTTACACTGTAACGAATACACCTCCCTTTAAAGTTAGAACTAGTCTTCCCAACAAACATATATATTTTTTAGAATATGTCTTCCGAAAAAATATTTTCTTTTCTAATAAAATCATATTATACTGACGAAATCACGAAAGTATTTAACTACAAAAGATCCACCAATACGATTTTAATACTATTTAAAGGTTCTTCCATAGGAAGAGATGCCATATAACATACTAATAATAACTCCGATGACGTACTGTATGGGGAATATTTTCATTGAATAATCAACCAAATTTGGCAACTAACACAATTAATATCATTATTGTTTTACACTTATTACTCTTTAAACAATGATAAATGCTCAAAATATGTATATTTCACCCAATTTATCGCAGTTAGATGAATTAACGTAAGCATTGAAAGTAACCGTCGATTTCGACGGGATTCACCTAGTTATATTTATTTCTCTAAAAATTGTAGTTCCAAAAGTCTGACATTGGACCCCTTAAAACCCACTGGGGCGGAGCACTTTTGACGGATCTGCACCAAACTTCACACAAACCATCCTTGAATAATGCTTAATAATGCTTGAAAGTTTCATTACAATCTGTCATTACAATATATAAAGCCCAAAGTACCCATAAACTTTTGAGAAAACTACAAGTAGTCACACCAACCATATACTTAAAATGTTCGTCATGACGATAAACCTTGCTCAAAACTATCCATTATTTCATAAATTGCTCTTTAAGGTCGTAATTGCTTTCCAAATAGAACTTTCCAATTTTCCATATACCTAATGTTGAAAATAACTCTGCTGTACTTATTTGCATGTTATTCATTCAATTTATTACCTTATTAAAATGAGGTGTGATTATTTGTTTGTATTACTGTATTCTGTTTTGTTTATTTCAGCTTAACTTAACCAATCAATAGTTTTATTAATACTTATGAAGTAAAATGGGGTGAAGCCCGTGGGTAACAGCTAGGATATTTAATTAGGTAAGCGAGTCGGCCCCCACGAAATATCTCGAGCTAGGAAAAAGGCAGCATGGCTTTTGAGGATTCATTTGAAAGCTTAAGGGTCCAAGGCCGGTTGGGAAAAATATCAGAAGTGTCAAAAACACCCCTGCTCTGCCCCACAGGCCGTCAAAGATCCAGTCATTTTCTAATGGAAGTACTGCTACAGAGTTTCTATAAGCGGTTTGAAATATACCTAGTATGGAACACAGCATTGACGTCAAGCAAGTTAATTGCAAACATGTACGTTATTAAATGGTATGACGCATGTCAAACAGTTCTAACATATAACAATTTAGAAAGATTAATAACATAGTTACATCAAAACATTTTCTTGTACAGTTAACATGGACAACTTTACCTAAAAAAATTCATTGCCTGACTAGGTTTGTCATTGATATTAAATATGTATTTATTTCTTATTATACGTTTTGTAAATATATCATTGACCATTTTTATTCGGTTAAACACAGATAAAGTCTATAAGAGAGTTTTACCTGGTCGATTCAAGATTGTGGCTAAACAAGTTAATGTTTTTGTTAATGCCTCTACGGTACAAGTTCTCAACATTCTATAACTAATTTGTTTCCAATGATTGTGTGCTTGTAGTATATATTTGTTTATATACTATTATTAATGAAAGAGGGAGTTCAATCTCAAACATTTTATTTGTGTAAACAGTTTAATCTTAATGCGATACTAGAATGTTTGTAATGGTTTATTATTTTTTTATTTAATATAAGTCACAGACTAACTCTAGCTGTTACCCAAGGGCTTCGCCCCGTTTGACTACATAAGTAAACTATTGATTGGTTAAGTTAAGCTGAAATAAACAAAACAGAATACAGTTATACAAACAAATAATTACACCTGATATAAATAAGGTAGTAAATTGAAAGAATAACTAACAAATAAGTACAGCTGAGATATTTTGAACATTAGGTATACGGAAAGTTCCCTTTAGAAAGGAATATTCTACCTTAAAGGGCAATTTATGAAATAATGGATGGTTTTTCGCAAAGTTTCTTGTCATGGCGAACATTTTAAGTAGGCCTATATGGTCTATGGGGGTGTGACTCAAAAGTTCATGGGTACTTTGGGATTTATATATGGATTTACTTGTAAACATTGTAGTTTGAAAAGTCTGACATTGGACCCCTTAAAACCCACTGGGGTCCCTTTTGACGGATCTGCACCAAACTTCACACAAACCATCCTTGCATAACGTTTAATAATGCCTGAAAGTTTCATTACAATCTATAGTATATATACATAATTCCTCTTTTATAGATATAGATTGCAATTCAAATCAAAATTTCAAAAACATGAACAAATTCCTTGAGATGCAATAGTAGTACCCGCATACCGAATTTCATCAAAATAGATGTGGCCTATATCTCTATACACTCAGGCCCGCCATTTCAAAACCCAACACTTTTTTGGATTCAGGGGGGGCCCAATATGGATATTGCCAACCAAAACTCAAACCCTAAAATCAAAAATCTTTACAAAAACAATACTTTCTCCTTCAATGTTAGAATGTTTAGGGGGAGAAAGTAAGAATTTTACTTAATAACAACAACACTATTGTGCTATTGAATTGAATCAGATGGTATTACCTGTTACCTGGGCCCTTTTTAATGCAATAACTGTAGAACTACTGCTCAATTTACAAATTTAAAGCTTTGAAGATGGCCATCAGTGTGACAGAATCGTTGCTACCCCATGTTATTGATGGCACAGTTTTCAGTCTAGAAGACAAAATAAGCTTAAATGTCCTGAAAGCTTTACGATTATTTAATCGCACACTAATCTTGCCTATCTACCTATAAAATACTAATTTGTTCTAGATCACCCGATCCTTCAAACGTTGGAGCTGAGAACATGGGACAAGTCTGCACAAGAGTTTGTCAAAAAGCAGAAACAACGGATCGCGACGTCCTAGTCCACCCCATGTGCCTTGTGGCTTTACTTCCTTCTAGTGTAAGTATTTACTGTGTCATCATTCCAAAATCATTATTATTTTATTACAATAACTATGGCATTGTTCAATCATCATTATAAAAAATACATAATAGTACAAGTCTTAGTGTGGATTTTTTAAACTATTTTTTTCTATTTTTTATTAATAGATTACACACAACATTTGATTAATTGCTAAAATTGCTCAATTAGTTGAGTAAAAAATAACTTCAAAATGTAATTTGTCAGCAGTCAATTAAACACATCTCCATAAACTTTTACTCCAAAATACCTTTCTGAATTGCTATATAGCTGATTTGTTGAGTGGCCTACCTAGAAAATAAAAGGCTGTCAAGTTTGGTCTAGAGATTAGATTAGTCACTATTCAGTATCTTTTTGATTGGTTCAAACTAAATTCAAGTATCCTTGATGTTTAATAAAATGACCCTGGCTGAAAATCAGCTGGTCTTAATCATTAACAAAGCTACCCATCGTGTCTACATTCATTTTACTCTAATATCAGTTAAGACACACCCTTTTGAGTCCCCATGCTAATTTATAAATTGGTGTAAATACCTGCTTCAATGTAATCCAAAATGTTACATGTGCTGCAGCTAGTTTCAACTTTGAAGAAGTCATCTTCAGATGGTGAACATTGAAACGATTAATGTACTGTTTTAATCGTTTCAATGTTTGTGTGTCTCTGTACTATAGGTGAAGCGACGTCTTTTTGATGAAGTGATCATGACGTAGGTGACTTCTTGAAAAGAGAAACTAGTTGCGCCATTAACAAAACTTTGGATTATATCGAAGCAGGTATTTACACCAATTCATATAATCAAAGCGATTCCGGAGGCTAACATAAAAATTACCATTAATTGTATAGTGATATCCTCATAATTTTTACTTCCTACTTGCCATATAAAACGCTGATCACAGAAAACCGATAAAATTTAACTCTTATGAGATATTCACTACAAAAATCTAAAATATTCGATCTTTTTCAGGCTGACTATGCACAAATATATCTTCAAACCCTCACTGTCTTCACGATGTCTCATCGAATCTCGATTGACAAAAAATGCTGTCCATGATACAATAATTATGTACATGACTTTGTCTTGTGTGTTGACAATGTGTTGTCGATGTAAAGATGTGAGCGGAGTTCTCCGAGGTATAAACCGGATTTTATAATCCACATATTGATGTCTTAATGGCCTTGTAGCTTTTTATAGTGCTACTGAAGTGCTCCAACCTCCAACATCTCCATTCCTGTCAAGGGTGTTCAGATAATAAGGTAACGTTCATGTTCGTACGATCTCAAACTGTGTTTTGCTTTTGTACTTTACCTTTACGAAAGTGTCGACCATATTTTATTATTTTATAGATTAATAGATTATACAGTTCACATTTTTTTGTCTGTTTAAGGATTTTCTAAACTAAAAGTCCTTTGTGGAATTTAGGTTTACGTTTTTGTTTTGTACAGGGTGACACAAAGGAACCGGACGTTTTTTAAAGAAGTAGTACACAGTAGTTAAATGGAATAAAATGGTTTTAATACTGTACATAGTGAGGTAAACATTTGCCATTTGTTACAAAACAGTCATTTTTTGAAAATGACGCCATGCATATGGCGGCCATGTACTTCTCTACAAAATGTTCATTCTGGTCTGAAAAGCATCTGTAACTCGGGTCAGGAGGTCTTGTTCAATGCCATTGATATCTTATGTGATTCCCAACTTCAAATCCTCTGGAGTGCGTGGTTAGTGAGCATAAACACGCTCCTTAAGAAACCCCCAAAGGAAGTAATCACTAGTGGACAAGTCAGGTGACCTTGGCGGCCACGGTATGTCACCAAAGAGAGAAATCACCTTGTTATGAAACATTCATTCAATACTGCACTCACTCCGGCGACGTTTTCGGGTGTTCTCGAAGTTCTAACAAGGCATGGTGTTTTCTTTCTTGTAGGGATGGTCAAGTCTCGAAATTTCGGGAAATTTTCGGGAAATTTTCAATCTCGTCACACGAGACGAGATTACTTTTTGGCCGAGATTTTTATCGAGACAAGAATAAAAAAAAAAAAAAAAAAAAAAAAATTAAAAACGCCTGCAGAAAGTCAATGCAATACCCGCAATACAGGAACGTGTTGTAGCTGCGTTTCCTTTTCGAAGGCGTTTTTATTTAATTAATTCTTTTAATGTAAATATTACTTTAATTCTTTTAATGTAAATATTACTTTCATTATTTTAATAATATTACTTTAATAACATTTGAGAAGTTTTGTTAAGTGTAAGCAGTGTGAGGAATGTTTTATTACTATAAAAAAAGTCAAAACCAGTAACTATTTTATAAAAATTAATATTGCTTTTATTTTATGATTTATTTTATTTTAGGATAAGTTGAACTCTATCCTAACTGATATCACCATGTTTCCTAATCGTAGGCATTTTTAATAAGTTAGGCGTGATTAATAAAAAAATGTTATGCTGATGTTATTTAATGAAAGATTGTAAATATTCTTGCCTATTATCATTATTTTAGTATTTAAACAGTCATCTAACAATGTTACAAAATCAGGTAAAAATTTCGAACGTGCATTTCCCGTTGTGTATGAGAAGAGAAATCTCGTCTCGATCTCGTCTCGAAATTTTATGAGAAATAAAAAATCTCGTCTCGTCTCGTCTCGAACTAAAAATCCAATCTCGTCCATCCCTACTTTCTTGTTAAATTCCCAGTTGTTCGGAACCCTGAAACCCACCTTAATAGCGTATTTCGGCTTGAAACCGTTCCATGGCGTTCAATATTAAAATGTCGACTAAATTCCCACTGGGTTTTGACGACGGGTTCACCATTTTGGACCAAAGTATCGTATGCGAAAACGCGATGGTCTAGGGTCCACTAAGCCATTTCAACAAAAATGGCAAGCGTCACTGAAGGTAATGACATAACCTCAATCTTCCTACAACGTACGACAACAATCGAACAGCTGTTTAAAAAACGTCCGGTTCCTTTGTGTCACCCTGTATAATTAATTTTATTTACATGTTTTTTTTAGCGTTGCATATACTTGGTATTTTTAAACTAAACATGCTTAGTATAATTTTAATTTAGTATTAAATTCAAGGGTTCCAATTTTGTGGCCAATTGATTCTTTTGTACAGGAAACTGTATTCAAAATTTTGGACAAAAAATATTGACTAAAACAATTACATTTCATGAAAAAGTATTACTTTCAACTTTTAGTTTCATAAAAATTGTAAGCGTACAGCAATCCAATCACAAGTTATAAATTATGTGAACCAAACAGTAGTGCACATGAAAATAATAAAAGTAAAATGGAATTATAGATTTAGATGTTCTCTAATCTATAGGAATGTATTTAATCCTTCAATAAATAAATACAAACACATATTTTCATGTAAAATGGTGTATAAATCAATTTCAATTTCTCTTCTTCATGCACCTTTTTCCTTAACACGTTCGCTACCTCAATAGTACTAAATTTTTCATTCGCGTGGACCAGCAATGCACATATGCGTTGGCCGGTTGTTACCAATAGACTGCCGTTGCATATATGCAACAGCTGATCACATTAAAATAGACTGATGTCGCATATTTGCGTCGGTGTCCAATGTTATTAAAAAGCTTATATCTTTGTAACGGTCTATTTGAAGGTACTGAATTCTTTGCAGCGGTCTACAGGGATGTTTGTCGCATATGCGCGTCACTTGGTCTGTGGATATTTGCTTCATATGATAGTTGGCAAAACTGATTTTTACTATGCTACATTGCTCTGCATGTACTGTTAACCAAGTGACACCCGGTCTATGTGGAATATTAAAATGTATACCTCGGGCCGTGGCAATGACTTTAGTGTCGCAAATATGTGGCGATCGGTAGCGAACGTGTTAATAATCTTTTTTCTACTCTCTCACTTGTACTTTGTTGTGCAAAATAATAAAAAAAAAAAACTTTTCTATTTCCAGATTTGTTCTAGATACTCTTTTAAATCGCTTTTGCCTCAAGCACTACAATTAAATAAGCTGAATATATTTTAATGATTGTCACAAAAAAAAAGCATTTTGTTTTCCTTTAATCTCTTAGGAGGGAACATATTGTATTGTCCTATTGTACTTCTTATTGTATTCCTTGAAAATAAATTCTAATTTCTAAAACCATTTTCTTTTAGTTGAATGTTAACATTAAAAACCTTTTGTATCACCTTAACGGCGACAGTGTATTCTCTTACTGTATATAAACCTGCTTCTGCTATTTGATGATATTTTTTATACAATAGTCGTTGTGTATATGTGGACCATAAGAACTCAAAATATTGTCAATTTATACAAAATATCTACAATTGTACATAGTAATATATGATATTCATAGCTAATAACAGGGTTGGAAAACATTATGTTTCAAATATTTTTTTTGCTGGCTGATTGCAACATTTTGATTGTTACTGTTAAAATCACATTGTTAGGTCATTCATATGCTTTTCGCACCTTCGTTTACATAAGTTATATACCAAGAAGCATTTTTTCACATCACATCATATAGGCCTAGTTGTATTTAAAAAATAACTCATTTTATTGCTGATTTAAAAAATACATTTTAAGGTTCATTTATACATTTTACAATTTTGGAATACTTCCTAACTTTTACTAGTGTCAGCTAACTTAGTGTGTATTTGAAATTTTTTTTACAATTGACTATAAAAATAAATATTTTCTTATATCAATTAAAATAAATTCCGCAAAGAAATTTTAATGTTTGGAATAATTGTATGATATTAAAACCCCAGACCATTTTATCAGTTAAACTTTTCAAGTGTGAAAGCTACAGTAGTCGGTTATGTTATCATTACGAATTCTGCAACGTTGATTAAAATTAAATGTATAAATAAAATGATATTTATTAAGTACATTTATTTGTGACATCACAGAGAAGTAAGTTACTAAAGAAACTTGCTTATAGAACGACTGTGCGCTTTTAGCTCTAGAACGTTGGGCCAGAAATATACTTGTGACAACCAAGGAAGAGCCTGATAGTGGAGCACTGTTACCTCTATTCCTATCACACAGGGCACGGGGTCTTCCTCCACCGTGAGCATTGTAGTACATAAAGGCAAGGGGTTGATGTTGGAATTTGCCATAGACACTTAAGTGTACCCTTGAGTTTTTCTTCTCTACCTTACTTTTCTGTGGGGAGGTCTAGCTGTTCGTAGACTATAAATTAAAATTTTGTTTTATTTCGAACAATTTTGGATTACAGTACTAATTAAGCGACTGTGTTTATACTTAAGACATATTCTAAAACAGAGACACAAATTAATTTTTATGGCTTTAATAGTAAAATTGTTCTGTCAATTGTAAGCAAAAACTGTCATTATGTTATGAGAAACGTTGTAGGGTAATTTCTATATTTTTTGTGCATTCTTTTTTAAAAAATTCACCAACTCCTAGATACATTTATTCAAAGTAATTATTATATACCAAGTTAGTCCAATTTATGTGCCAAAAAAAGTCAATAGTTTAGTCTTATCATAAGCTGTAATTTTTCTATTTTATTTATAAATCCCAAAAAAGAGTTTCTCTTAGATAAATCTTAACGAAAATCATTGTTTTACTTCTGACTTTGCTATGGAAAATAAACTTTTTAAATTTAACAAATGTCATTAATTCTGAGGATGTGAAATGTGATATTATATAACTCTTCTACAATATACCAAAACAATTATTCTTTGCTATAATTGTGTATCTAACCTTATATGGCTTGTTGACAACTTTTCACTATAATAAAAGATTAATATCTATTGTGGGTCTAACATTTTACGTTTTCTTTTTTGTATAAGTGAGTTATTTTGTTATTTTTGATAAGAATCAAAAACACTTATTGCCTTTTCAATCACAGGGGCTTAAAATGTATATGTTAATTAAAGCCTAATATGGTTAAAGTATGGTACTGATGTTGCAAAATAATATAAAATGGACTTTAATGGCACTAATTTTAATATCCACCCATCATGGTTTGTTATTGCTTGCTCATGTAATTTTAATGTTCCTTTGACATGGTAACAATAGTTTGTTATTAGTTAGAGTTTGTTAGCTTGCATTCAGATATATATGTGGTTGTTTAAAGTAACATATTTTTGTATTGATATTTGGTTTGCCAGAAGGCAGTTTGAAGGCTTGCCTAAAATGTACAATCAAATTGTAATGTGCTAACCATTGGCTATATCGTTGTATTTTTTATTGCATGTAAATAAAGATGAAAATATTTTAAACGTGTACGAGTACAATAATTATATTTTAATTGTAACCTCAAACATTGTGTTTTGGATTTCACACCACCCTATGGATACTGTAGATAAATATATACCTATTTTAGCAAAAAATATCTTAAAAAAATATCTTAAAAAATATCATAAAAGGAAAAATAATAGCCTGTCTCCCATAGTTACTCAAATTAACTGATCTACAGTCTTGTTGCTTTTTTCAAATTGTATGTAAAAACATATAAAATGTTAATTCTTAATTCAAATAAGTATTTCCTATACTGCTGCAAAACTGCTGTTTTCAATACATGCAGTGTGATGCTAAGGTATCATTTTTGGTCCTTCGGAAAAATAAAACAACCCTACTGTTGTTAACAACTAGTTCATTATTTGTAATTAGTACAAAATAATGTGATGTGTCTGCAATATTATGTTCAATTAATGACGTCAAAAGTAGTATCTATATTTCACTACTAGTCCCAAAAGTGGCCAATTTTGGAGCAAGATGGTTTACCAGCGAGGCGAAGACTAGCACATAAAACATCTAAATCTGTTGAGCCCCGTAATAGTATATTACGTTACTAGTCCTGAATATAAGTGTTTGCCAGACGAGTGTGGTCGTTCCCGTACCATACGAGTCCGGTAAACACATTTTGGACGAGCGGCGTACGATAGTTTACGCCATACTACTAAATCTGTACAAATCCTTATAATCCATACCACCAACTAAAGGACTAAAAATCACTAGACATAACTATATTTTTGTTTATAACCACTCATTGCCACCCAAATACAGTATACTTATTTCGTACTTATTATCAGTACAGCTGATTGGTTTACGCCACACTACATTATTTTGACTAACTTCCCACCCAAGGATTTAGTCCAGAAAATAGCTGTTTGTCGCCAGCTTATTCAAATGGGGTTTCATTGCGTACTACTGTACTGTAATGAGTTTTACCGGACACCAATCAGCTGATTATACTGTATTTAGGTGGCAATGAGTGGTTATAAACAAAAACATAACCTCTCTTAGAGGTTATGACTAGTGATTTTTAGTCCTTTGGTTGGTGGAACTGGAAATATATAACGATTTGTACGGATTTAGTAGTAGGCAATGGCGTAAACTATCGTACGCAACTCGTATGGTAATCCCACACTCGTCCGGTAAACCTTTTTTTTCAGGACTAGTAAGGTACTGTAATATACTATTCTAGTTCTTTTGATTTGAAATGTGAGAAATAACTGCCTTAATATTTACATTAAAGAATCTTTTATTCTCCCTTACATCCAGAAATGTTCTTTAGGGCTGGTTCTCACAAATAATGTTATAAATATCGGAGCATGGTCGGTCGTTGAGGAAAATTTGGCGACGTCCCTCAAATTTTTTTGCCTCTACACAGTTCTCATTATTTTTGAAATTATCAGGTTGGTTATGCTGCCAACCGAAAGAACCAATTTCCTTATTGAGACCTGCCCATTCGAATATCTTCTTGTTATTTTCATCTCGTTTGAAAGAGGTGCCAGCTGTCCACGAACTGGTGAACTCGGAGCCTAAAAAAGATTTGATTTTAGTGTGAAGAAGTATACAAGTTATCTCCAATTGTTTTTTAGTAAATCATTCATCTTTATTATATGTGTGAAAAATTGCACATTTTCTTAACTCAACTTAATTGTATATTGAGAAAACTTAATCTTGTATCAGATGCATTTTTCTAATCAATCAATTTATATGAATAGAGATCATTGAACGTTCAGAGTTTTGGCTATCTAAGATTAAGTAAATGATTTTACTGGAACTTTACATGCTTATTATTACTGTACATGGACAAAGATTATTTAGTGGCTAAGTTTTGGAGGTAGAGCCTAGGTGCGATTCTTCAAGAAAATGGTAATTAGTAACAAGACCAGAATTTTTACTACTTCCTCAAAAAAAGGTTTGACACACTCCAAAAAAAATCATCAAAGCAAATTTATTTTTAGGTATTTTATTCATTAGACTTACTCACTATAATAATTGTTCTAAAGTGCTTTGATAGTCGCTTAGCTGAAAAAAGGAAGTAAAAACTATTATAAAAGAAATCCCCCTATTGCTTGTCTGATAACTAATGATGTTAGTTCAGAACATTATTATCTTAAATATACAAATCTGAACACTTTCATTTTGTAAGAGCAACTTTGGCCAAATAATTTACAAATATATATTTTATGTTTTAAATTGATGTGAGTGATATTATTATCACTATATAGTAGTCTTAACTTCTCATAAAGTTTCTTATCACTATTTCTTTAAGACAAACTGTACTTTTCTCTAAACCTTTCTAACCAAATCAATTTCTTCACATTTTATTATTTATGCAGTTCTCAAGTCTAGTAGAGTGTGGGTTCTGGATCCCGAGGACTTAGGTTGAAATCCCACCAGTCACCAATGGATTTAATCCATGGGATAATGTCGCAACGTTAGACCTTGCCTGAAGTAATGTGTAAAACAGTACTGAGCTAGAACCTATAGCATCCTAGGCTGGAAGATGGAAAAAACAATTTCTACATTTTGTTCTGTGGTGAGTGTAAATTAAAATACTAAATACTGTATACAATTTTGACATACCACCACATTTGCTCCTGCATGCATTAATCGCTTCACCCAATTCACCATGAGCCTGCTTAGTGACAGTGGTTGCCAGATTCCATTGTTTTCTTTTACAAAAGTCCAAGGCACCTTGCCAGTCTTTCTGTAAATAAGTAATATAAATTACAAGATTTATAAGACGTTCTTTAAATTATTATATTCCATTGTATGAAGATAGTTATGAATAAATCATCAACTTCAATTGTACATAATAAATATTTCTTAAGCATGAGGTAATGAAATGGTTTTAGTTCACTGGATGGTTGGAGTTATCACTTTTCTCCATTTTAAACAATGCTAATACTCCTTTTAAAGTACATTGTCTAAATATCTGTACAATAATATGTTATACATCAGGTGTTTTAAAACATAACAGCTGATTTAATCATTTGTTTTTGTTATTTATAAACATATTATGTATAACTTGTTGTTTGTTATAAGTAACATTAATCTTTCTTTAAATAAATTAAAAAACATTGTTAATGTAACATTTCTTGTAATTAGTATTATAATTAGACAATACCTTATGATATTTCTTTATCTACAAGAGTCCTCCTTTACTTACAACAAGGAAGATTATTTACTTATAACAAATAACAAGTTATACTTATAAATAACAAAAACAAATGATTGAATTAACTGTTATGTTTTAAAACACCTGATTGACGTATAACAGATTATTGTAAAGATATTTAGACAGTTTAAAAAAGAGTATTAGCATTGTTTAAATGGAGAAAAGTGGTCATGCATTTGGAAAAGAAGACATTTCTCTGTTATTATTTATCCATTCTTAACAAATAAGGTATTATTGAAAACTACATAACATTTACTAACTTTTTTGTCTCTTGCAATTATTTTGTAGAGTTACCGGTATTAGTTTTGTGAAATTTGGCATCAAATGTTTTAAATGGCTGCCATTTTTAACAGTTTAAGATATTTTAGTATATAATTTTAAACAAAGATAGGTAGATAAGATATACATTTTTGAAAAATCTCAACGCTGTTTCTCAACCGTTTAGGAGTTATGTTTTTGTAAAAAACACATAAATACAGACAGACGGAAAGGCACCACAGACCCATGTTCCTATGGTGAACTATGTGTCTTGACCTAAGCAATAACGCTATACACATTTGTCCAGAGAGTTACGGGACGCCCTGTATATCGCCTATTACTGGCTCAAAACAGCTGATTTTATTTATAGTAACAAAGGTAAACAGGTCTCACTCAATTCTACATCACACTTCATTAATATTCAACTTAAAAATACACATTAAAATGTGTGTCGCTGTTCAAAATAATATGGTGTGTATAATAATGTTAAATACGTGAAAAAATTGATATGACGATCGCTACTTGGAACCTTAAATTAGTTTACCTAAATTTAGTATTACATTACCTACATTAATTTGCCAATATATCCAATAAGTTATACCTTCATTGTGTAGAGGTGCAATTCCTTCCCTTCCGATACTTCTGAAAGAATTAACAATAATATTCATTAACATAAACTAAAATTAAGTATTAAAACTCTAAATAAAAATAATAAATAAGATTTAATCCGTACGATAGTTAGTTTAGTCTAATAACAATAGTGTGCTTAAAAAATCCAAAACGAATAAGTTATTTCATAGGAGCTAAATTAATTTACCCTTATAATTTTACTATGCTGGATGTATGGGTTTAATTGGATTCGAGCCATAACATTTTCGAAAATTAGTAAAATAAATTAAATTTACTAAAACCCCATAATTTTATTTTTTAATCTTGTTAAATGCACATCGTTTACCATTTCCATTTTCTTATTAGGCTACCTCAAAAATAGGAATAATGTGGTAAGGTAAATACATTGATATAATTAATGTTCTTAAATCAAATGACTTTACCAATTTATCACTTACATGTTTGAATATGCGTAATTAATAATATTACTATTTGTAAAAACTTCATAAATAATTAAATATTATTAGATAAATACCTATAATTGTAATAGCTGCAATTATAAATATGCCTTGTAGAAACACCATTACTCGATTTTTTCAGAATTCGGAGTTGAAAGAAATAAGATACTCGCTGGTAAACTAAAATCTAACATATTACCTGCAGGTTGTTGAATTTCTTTGTTTTGTATGACATTAGAAGCGGCAACTGGCGTGTTAGTTTTGAAACTCTTGACATTTTGACGTGGTTAAATATTTGTCGTATTAAAATGAAAGCCATACCTTTCAGAAAATTTGTCACTGGAAGCATCTGTTTGTGAAATATCACCTAATTGTTTTTAACTAAATAAGAAAAACGAACTGAAATATTTTTTAGATCCAACACTTAAGGGATATTTTTTAACACAATTTTAAGCTTCGAACCTGTATATGTTTATGGCTTAATTTATATTGCACAAAAGATAAGCTTTAAAAACTGAGCTGGCGTCGGAGTTTTATAGGTTAAGTCACTGTGTGCTGTAATAATACGCAATAAAAACAACCAACACGACAACGCTTTGCTCCAAGTAAAATATCTGTTATAGAAATTTTGCCTGGGTTAAATTCCTCTGAAAGTCATACTTTATAGGCCTATCAAACGCTTTAGCATTTCGATTAATTTTTATTTCTCTTTTATTACTTAGTGTTTTAGTAGTCTATTACTGTAAAAATGAAGCTACTGGTTCGAGAAACCTTTTTGAACTGCCCGATAATCTTTTACAAGATTCCCCTGGAAATTACTATTTTCATGCCTAACTAAATGATAGTGTTCTAGCATTTACTTTAAATTCGTTCCTTGCACAGATCTGTAGTCTATGTGGACGGCAAATGCAAGGTTAAAAGAGGCCGCCAACCTCTTAAAAAAATTGTTATACAGTATTGAGTCATGATTCAGAAATGTTTGTAATAAATTGTACTAGATAAATTATAAAGGCTTTTCTCTGAAGAATAAATATACAAACTAAAAAATAACCAGTTTCATGTGTAATTTTGTATCGTATTTGGTTGCGCAGCCGTTTCTGTTGCAGAAACTCTATTAATTATAAAACCTCAGTTCCTTTGTGGATCCACCAGGTTTTGAAGTTCTTACCTGAAGCGTAAACTTTTAATTATGTTTGGAAAACATCTAGCATGACTTTCTATCACAGACATGTGACAAATAAAATCAGATTTTAACTTAAATCTTACAATTAGAATACATAAAATACCATACAAAATAACATAATACTGCAGATCTCAACTTACTCGACACCTATTGATTTTTGATAAAATCTCATATTTTTTTATATATAATTATTTATATTTGATTCGTATACAAATACTACACTCCACTACACATTGAATTGTGGGAAGTGAGCTGGTGTAGTGGTTGGAACGCGGGACTTCGGTCCCTGAGGCCCCGGGTTCAATTCCCGCCAAATCACCAATGGATTTTATATAAATGATAATGCCGCAACCCCTAGCTCAAGCCTGAAGTAATGTGAAAAACAATCCCTGGCTAGCGTCTTATGAAAAAAAATAGAAAAACCACACATCAAATCTTATACAGCATGCGCAAAATTTGAATTTTATTTCTTTGTATTTCCGCAAATTGCTACAATTTTCATGTTTTATTATTATAATATTAAATGTGCTTGCACAGCATACATAAAAAAATATCACGAAAACTATAAAATATTTCAATTTTACTTTAGTGGCTTCATTCTAGGCAGTATACTAGTATATTTACGACATAACTTTACCTCTACAATGGATAAGCCTTATAAAGATTTATATGTGTTGCCATAGCTTTATAGCGTGAGTCGCCGTCAGCTATAATTTATATGGACCTGCAAAGTATAGGTCAAATAAGGTCAGAATGCCAAGAAACAACGTTGGTTAAAAATTTCGTTTCTTTATTCTTTTTATTGACATTGTGTGTGGTCTTTTACCTGAAGGAAAGTGAGCGCAGCGAACGAGCTCCAACATACAGGTGAGTGAGCGTAGCGAACGAACTTCAACCAGGACGTGATTGAGCCATGCAAACGAGATCAGATAGTAAAAATAAAAGTAAGCCTACCGTTATAGGATCGACCGGCAGACACAGAGGTAATTTAACCTTTTATTGATTGTCATACCGATCCGGAACAACAAAAAACAACATAAAATGAAGCTATGTATAATAGTTTGGCCAGCATATCTTAAAATATGCAAACCAACTGCTGTTCGTTATATAAGAAGGTTTCAACTGAATATTATAAGATCCCCGTGCGTAGAACGGGTACACAGCTAGTACCTGTATAAATTAGCTAAATCGGTGTCCTTTTTGTTTTGCTATGCTCGAACAATTTTTACTGTTAATTTACTCTGCCAATAAAAAATTAATATTTCATTCATGATACACTTGTCTGAATGTCGACAAAGGGAGGTATTTGAGGTGACATTTGATCAAACAATTAACACAAATACTTTGTTCATTGGGACTCTTTTTTCGGTAAAATTGTTGGATTATTGCCACTATACCTACAATTGCACAGCTGATGTATTTGACTCTAGCGGATAATATTTTCTAAATTTTGTTGGGTCCTTGATATCCCTACTGTACTGGTAATATAAAAAATATGACTATTAAATCTTTTGGATTTTTGCTTATATTCTGGATGTATAAAATAGCTAACACGTTTAAAATATTTGAAACGTCTGTTAGTTTTAAATAGGCACTAATATAATTTTCCAGCATAAAAATAGATTGACAAGGAGGGAAATATATGTATACTACGATATAAAAGTTCAATTCAAATGGCTAGATTAAACCTAAAAGTGCACACACCTTTATATATTTTCCGTAAGAAATAAAAGTGCTCTTCATATTTTAGAAAACGTATTTCACATCAATGGTAAAATTAATATGTTTTAAGTAGGTAACGTCTTTTTAAATTTTAGAATCTTAGGAATGGCTGTTTTAGCAGGATTTAAGGGAAAAGGGGAATTTGAATAATGTAGGATGAATTTCAATAAAAGTATTTAATATTAAACTGTGAGTATAGGAAAATACATGACTGCACTGCAGCTGAAACTTCTGAGAAATGTTGCAAATAATACACTTGAATCTTACACTCGCTTCTAGCTTATGTTTAATGTTTATTGTTTACGTAAAAAACAAGCAATATTTTATGAACTTAAGTTTACGTGAGCTTCCAAACACTTTTTCCAAATTAATTTTACATTAATTTAGAATCAGGTTGTACGTTAAAAAAGGTTAAATGTACAATGTATACTAATAAAATAGGTAATTGTAAGGATAATTCACTTTTTTAATCGCTTACACACAAACAAATTAATTACAAATGCAGTGCAACAGATAAAAGTTGACACTATAATACCTCAACTACATCAAAATACAACATTTAATATCGTATATTTGACTAATTTCAGAGAGTTTGATACGTATACACGTATTTAGCTAAAACTAAAAACCTTTTACTGGTGTTAATGCCTCTATTTAAAGTTATTTGAACGAAACAAATTAAATTGATCACGAAATCCTGCTTAATTATTTTAGAAACCTCTGCAAATTATTATCTGCAATTAGCGGACGTAATAATTACACTACTAATAATATACATATTAAGCTTGTGAAATTATCAGCCTAGGACTATACCAAATTATTGTGCAATGAAGCTATATATAATCCTACACAATTAATTCAAAGTTCATATTTTTAAACTATAGTTGTATTAAAAAAATACCCCCGCCGCAGCAAACCTGCAGACTTAGCGAATTTCCATTTGCCTGATTGGATTTAAACTAAAATGTCTCCTTAAAAATATCACATTTAGCCTATTCCCTGTTTAAACAGAATTACTGTAGTTTAATGAGTACTTAGGTTTGCTGCAACAGGGAGGGTAAAATGTTTTTTTATGTAAAATGTTAAAAGGTACTGTGGTTTAGTAAGAAATTAATGTATTTTCCAAATTTGATCAAAATATGTTCATAAACAAGCAAACTACAACAGTTGACTTATTCTCCATAAGAATAACATGAGAATTTTAAAATTACAATTTTTTTGAATTTTCTCCGTAACAATTAGGCGCATAATAACGCTTCAATATACTAAATTATTTGCTTTTTTAAGCTCTACAAAATGGTTTAAAAAGAAATTGTGAAATTTTGTGTTTTTAGGGTCAAAAAAGGGAAAAACCTATTTTTACCCCATAAAACCCCCCATAAACCCCCGTTCCCATAGTCCGATCATGCTGGTTCGCGAACTCATTCAAGTTTATCCCGCCTTACACCTTCAAACCAAATTTCATCAAAATCGGACAAAAATTACTCAAGTTATCGTGCGGATGGACACACACACATATATATATATATATATATATATATATAGATATATAAAAAATTGAACGAATGGTGTTTTTGGCCTCTGGGGACATAAAAATGAAAAAGTAAATCGGTCCCGGGCTTAGGTCTTACCATGAGACCTACGGTAATAGCTACTTCCCTATAGGGAAATTCGCTAAAACAACTTAAAAATAACAATATTATTTTAGGGTAGAAAATGTATAGAAACGTGACAATATTTAAGAAACTGTTAAAATATGTACTTACAAGTTATTATTGAGCAAAGACAATTTAATTCACAATATTAGTTTATATTTCGTTTAGGTATAAAATTATAATCCATAAGGCTTTCATTGATAGCTGATGAAAAATAAAACATAAGTATTTTTGCAAATCATTTACCTAGTGTCTAATTGTATTTTAGAAGTGTATTTCACGCGTTCCCTTGCTATATCTCAAAGGACAAAGGAATTCACAGGGACCAATATCAAATTTAATTTAATTAGTTTGATTGGTAGATAATAATTGGAGTGTGAAATGCATAGTTAATTTAACAACCTTTGTTAACGTCCAACGATACAAAAGCATATATTTCAATTAATAGGGTATGATAGTTAATATATATTTTAGGAACCGTGAACTGAGTATTCGTTTTGGAGTTGAATGTTTAAAAAAATAATAATTAAGTACCAGTTAATTTATTTTTCTTCGGTAAGTTTTTATTCTTTGTTTCTAGCCTGGAATTGGTTTTCACATTACTTCACATACTGTAGGTTGCGGCATTACCACTTACATAAAAATCTA